AAAAAAAAAAAAAAAAAAGGATTGGGATTGGCTCAGCAGTACAGCACTTGCTGGAGGCCCTGGGTTCAACACTTGGACTGCAAAAATGATGAATGAATGAACGAACGAATAAATGAATGAATGAATGAATGAATAAATAAAACTGTCTAAAATGCAAACTCCCCAAAGAGTAATGTTTTCATGTATATCTTTCAAAACAATTTTCTATGGAGATACATGTATATATATTTTTTTCTTACAAAAACAGCATTCTTGTCATGTATAACTAATTAGAACAAAACAAACAAACAAACAAAAACAGTATTCTCTTACATGGGTGGTGTTGTACCTTGTATGTTTTAAGAATTATTTTAAAGAACGCTGTCAAACCTCAGAAACGTGGGCTCAGCCTTAGGAACTAACAAAGACTCTAGCAGCAGTATTCCTTCTCTTGTCCCGTGCCTATTCTAGAACTCTGGGGGTCCTGCATGCCACCAAGGCACAATGAAGATACGAAAGCAGCAAATGAACAGTATGCTTATTTGGGCAAAGATGCTGAACCTCTGTGGATAGAACTTGAAGGAGATGAGAAGAGAGAAAGGAGTGTTTTCTGGTGCAACAGGAGCTCTGCAAATTAAGAACACTCCTTAGTCTTCTCCTTCCCACGCCAGGGCCTGCCTTCTGCTAGAGGGAAAGATGCTATTCCTTGCCCTTGCTGCACAAGGAGAGCTCCCTGCCAGGGACCTTGTTACTGCCATACCTCTCACTGACCCCACGGTGTGGAAGGACTCAGCAACATCAGAGTCCTGCATGGCCCGCATTCATGTGCACAGCAGAGTCAGACTGGACACACAACAGGGTAAGGAGAAAGTGGCTCAAGAGCACACGTCCATACTGGAGACACATTTGTGAAGCTTTATTGCAGCCATTTCCCTCACCCAGAGGAAGGAACCAGTCGGTTCTATTCACAGTCTCAAGGTGACAATGTTCAGGAACTCTAGAGACTAAGCTGTAAAAATCCCTTTTTATACAGAGTCAAGATGTTTCTTAAGAAAAATTTAGCCTTGTTAATGGCACATGGTTCTCATAATAAAAACACTTGCAAACAGCATAAAGTGCAGCTGCCTTACATGTAAAGAAAGAGGCAAAAACAACAACAAACAGATTCAAGTCGTTTCTCAGTCAGCACAATGATACAATATTAGGATTACAAAACTGCAGAGTAAACCACAATGATTTAAAAGTAAAAGTGGCAGGAAAAATAAATCTTGGCACAAAAATATTACATTCTTGACATTGAGTCTGGGCACAGGAGCTGAGACCTCCAGCCGTTTCCCCTGCAGGTTTTACAGGCACCTCAGTTGAGCAGATCCAACCTGGAACCTCCCCTGTGCTTTCATGAGCCCATGTGTGAACTGCCCCCACCAGGGCACCGTGGTAGGGGTGATGCTGCCACTTTCCACTGTAACCAGGGGCTGTTCCATCCACATCAGGTGCAGGGCATTTGGAACAGTTGGGACCCTGGGCTGTCACCACTTTCCATCCCTCAGTAGAGAATCAAGGGTTGACTATCACTCCCAGGAGAACAGTGGAAAGTGACAGCACAGGTACTTCCTGGCCTGTGGCCTGTGCTCCCCACTCACTCTGGCTGCCCACTGCCACCTTGCTCCAGGCTGCCAGGGAGCATCAGTGCGTAAGAATTCTCTCTGTTCACTGCCCACTTTGGCCCCAACCCCAGACTTTGTTCTTGGTGAACTTCTACACCCTGGGGTAGGGGATCCCCTGGGCACAGGAGCACTGCCTGACCATGATGGTACCCTCTCTACTGCTGGGAACATCAAGTTACAAAGGGGAAGCTGGGACCCACTTGGTAGTCACCAACCTCAGGAAAGGCAGTCTAGTCTGCTCTGAAACCTGTAAAATGCCTGGAGGAAAATGCGAAAACAAAGTTCCAGGTGAGAATAGCCCCAAGGACAGACCTCTGAGCAGCTCAAAAGGCAGATGAGGAGACAGGCTAGAGGGAGGCCTCTCCAGGCTGGGCAGTGGAGGCCCTAGGAGATGGACGGTAAGAATTCAAAGAAAAACAAGCTGCCGGGTCTGAAGCCACAGCAGACTCCGGCGACCTGGCTGGAAGGATCCTCTGCCTCTGCAGATTGCTGAAAGAGGTTTTTATGCTCCACTGAAGAGGAGGACGGAGTGTGGCTCAGTGGCAGAGTGTATACCCAGCTGCAAGAGGTTCTGGGTTCAATTCCCAGCACCACAAAAAAAAAAAAAAGGAAAGACAAAGAGGCCAGAGCCCCTAGGTCTGCTCACCAGAGCTGGAGCCGACTCCTGGCCCTGGCCGTGACTCCTGGCCCTGGTCTACTGTTTACCACAGCTGTGCAGCTTGTAGGGGCTACCAGAGTGAGGGCAATGTCTTTCACTGGTAAGTTTAGGTATCATTTGAGAAGCTATCCTCAGTAGAGAAATTTTGGGTTTGAGAGACATCTCTCAGGGGACGGAGATTTTATTTATTTTTAATCATGTCTGTTCATGACACTTTCAACTTCAAAGTTGTGCCCTTGTCTGATTTCTAAATTAAAAACAAAAAACAATCACCTGTCATAGGAGTTCAGAGTAGATAAAGAGTTGTTATTCTAAGAAAATAGACTACTAAAGGAGAAAGTTAATGTTAAAAATAGGCAAAGTAATGCTTTTCATAGTACGTATAGGAAGATTTGCCCAACAGCATTTTTTTTTTAATAAAAATTACTTACCTTTAGTATGTGTATATATTCAAAGTACAGAATAAAAGCACTAGTTACTAAATTTGTGAAACTATGTGATTAAATCCCCTAAATTGTTTGGGGGAGGGCTTTTTGTAAGTGTCCGATTACAGATTTCATGCCAGGTCATCTTTAAAATTTAAGGCGTTTGGCTGCTCCTGGGAAGTGGGCTGGACTGTGGGCTGAATCCCTGTAATTCCACTCCGGTTTTCGAGGTGTAATAAGTGGGGCTACAACATCACCATCCTATCAGGAAGAGAGAACTGGAATTAAAGAAAATCCAAAGCCTGGTGTAGTGGGGTACACTTGTAATCCCAGTGGCTCAGAAGGCTGAGGCAGGAGAATCGCAAATTCAAAGCCAGCCCTAGCAACTTACCAAGGACCTAAGCAACTTAGTGACAACCTGTCTCAAAATAAAAACACACATAGGACTGGGGATATGGCTCAGTGGTTAAGGGCCCTGAGTTCAATCCCTGGCACTAAATAGGGCTGGGGACATAGCTCAGTGATGAAGAGGGGAAGGAAGGAAGGAAGGAAGGAAGGAAGGAAGGAAAGAAAGAAAAGCCAGTTTCCATCATTTCATTTCTGAATCTTAGGCATACATATGTCCTTAATGTCCTTGGCTTGCAGGTAGATTGCTTCTGGATATACTTTCTCTTGGGAAATTCCAAATTATATATGCCCCGTGCTTGGTCAACTTGAAACACTACAGTCCTAAGCAGATAAGGGCCTTCATGGAAAAAAGCCACCAGACCTCTTTTCAAAGACGGGTGGAGGCAGCACACTGCTGCCTGGGTCCAGGCACATCTCCTCTGCACACTTCTGTGAAACACAAACTCTATTCTGTTTCCAGGGGAATGAGCAGTTGCACTGGTTTCTTGCTTTTCTCTTGCCTGGTCCCTTCTGAAATAAATGACCTAGGTCTACAAAATGGCAAAAAAAAAAAAAAAAAGAGGAAGGACAGTATGTACCTGAACTTGAATTTTTCTCTGCAATCAAAGTTTTTAGCTGGGTGTGGTGGCTACTCAGAAAGCTGAGACAGAAGGATCCCAAGTTGGAGGCCAGCCTGGGCAACACAGCAAGGGCTCATCTCAAAATAAAAGCAAAACACTCCTACCCCCCCACCAAAAAATAATAACACCAACAAAAAACCCTCTAACTCTGCATAGACTCCAATCAAATGAACCCTTCACTCAAAATGAGGTTGGCCTCAAAGTAACACCATGGCCTGAATGCAGAGAGCATAAGCAAGGCCCTCCAAACCAACTGTCCTCATCTGTTCTAGAATGTGTGGGTGGATTCTCTTTGGTTATAGGAAGGTGTTCAATCTTTGCGAGTCTCTAGTACACTAGGGACAGGATGCTTGAAGCAGGACACCTGCTCCTCCTCTACTGATCTGTTCTCAGATCCTCTTCTCCTTCCTCCACTCTACCTTCATCTAGGGACTCTGGTGCTGAGCACCTTCCAGCCTAAGTTTGACCAATGGGAGACTGGAGGTGAGAGGCCAGCCATTCCCCCTCTTCTTTCTGGCATGGCAGCAGTGGCCATGACCCATTAAGCTTCTAGCTTCTGCCAGGGCCCCAGTTCCTGGACCCTCCTGCTTGCTCTCTAGGTCTTTCCTAGGAGGGGAGCAGCTTCTGCTGTACATCCCTGTCCTTGGCTCATTCTTT